GGTGTGTTCGTGTCATACAGAGATAAAACTGTTTTTTTCACACCTGCGACTGGCGCTCATATGACCTTATGCAGTTGTGAGCGCCGTAAAACCTCTACTAAAAAACGAACAAAAAACCCCCACAAACACCTACGACGTTCATCATCATCATCATCATCATTGCCTTTCTCACCCTGCCCCAGGGTATAGGCCACGGACAAACACCTTCCACCTTTCTCTATCCTGGGCTAGCCTCTTGATGTTATTCCATATTTTCCCACTTTTCTGTACATCAATTCCTGTGATTCTTCTCCAGGTTCCACGAGGTCTTCCCCTTGATCTCTTACCCTGTGGGTTCCAATCCAAAACTTTCTTTGTTATGCAGTTGCCTGACTTCCTGAGAGTATGTCCAATCCATCGCCACCGCTTCTTCCTACATCTTCCTCTACGACATTGCTTGGGGATTTCATGTTTTTCTCACTGGGCCGAATCAAGAGTATTAAGACTGTGTCAAAACATGACCATTATGCAGATAAGTCGATACCCCAGAATTACAAAAGTTCTAGCTGGAGGTGGGTGGTTGGCGGGTGCTCTAGTGTGGTTTGCTTCTTATTTTCTATCAAACATCTATCGTCCTTATCCCCCCTTCTTTTTATGTTTGTTACTCTCTTGTAACACCTCTAACCTTCTGGCGCTCATATGACCGTATGCAGTTGTGAGCGCCGTAAAACCTCTTATCTACTAAAACTAAACTAAAAGTTCTAGCATCTCAGTAACTATCTAATTTTGGGAAATTTGACGTAAAAAATGTTTGAGTTTCACAATAATTATGTCAAGCTTTTTCGATTGCAGTTCGTTGTTGAACATCTTGATAACGACTGCGAAAAAAATATTTTTACGGTTTTGATAGAGCAGATAGAACATTTAATTTGGTTTCTGACTTCATAGTCTTTGTAACACAAAACGGCCAAAATAGTCAGATAGAATTTCGCAATAGGTCGTTTATAAGGACAAGCGGGCTGACCCAGATTTCGGGGGGTTTCTAAAAATCTTGACCTATACCAAAAGTGGGCATTGCCCTACCTATAGGAGAAGTTTGGTTTCATTAGTGTGTATATTTGTTTGGTTATAGACAGGGTTGGGTTAATTTAAATCAGTTGATTTTTTTATATTTAAATCAACTTGATTAAAAAAAATAAAAATCAGTGATTTAAATCACTTTTTAAAAAAATTATTTTTATTCGGTTTTTACACATTTCAACATTCAGAATTCCTTTCCTTGGTTTCATAAAACAGATATAAGGTTCAGTAGACTAATATAATCATGCTTAAAAGTCTGATTCCCCCCTTTCACTGTGTAATAATACAGTATTCAATTTACTGTTTTTTCCATAATTGAAATCAGAGCTGGGTTGATTTAAATTGGGTCGATTTAAATCAGTTGATTTTTAAAAATTTAAATCAACTTG